TAGCTGTGTTGCTTGCGGAAAACTGGGCTTCTGAGGGTGTGACTTGTCCGCCGTTCTCTGGTAACAGTGCTGGGCAACGCTGATACTGGCTGTGCTGTAGTGTGAGCAATGTCTGGAGGGTAGGTGTATTGTTGTAAGGTGTGGTATCTTGATTGTAGGCAATTGAATGCAAAGGGAATCATCGACTGTAAAAATTGTAGTTCAGCCACTGTACTGAAAGTCTCGGCTCTGCAAATCGAATCAAAGTGGTGTAAACAAATATGTACGACAGTGTAGATCTCGAACATCTGGTATGTATGACTGCAAAGTGGAGGAGTGAGCAAGACACAGACTCTAATCAACATGAAAATCTTGAAAAATTGAAAAGTTGAAAGGAAAATATTTTAAATTGAAAGTGATGGCTTCTGGGTGAGACTTGATTCAGTTGAACTCTGCAGTATACTTCAGTAAGAATTTCAGTGAACTCTGCAGTAAAATTCACGCGTGCAAGGTGAGACACTCCGAACAAGCTGATTTCGAGCAGGAAAATTCAGTCGAATGGATTTCAGAAAACTTCAGAGAAATTACTCTCACGGTGAGGAGTGAGAAGGTTCTCTCGGTAACAGCGCCCCGTAGGGATCACACAGCTTACCACGGTGGGAAGAAGCTGCGAAACACACTTGAGAAGGTTGCTCCGTGGAGCTTGTCTTCAGGCAATTCGCGGTGAGCATTAGCCCTTTAAATGAATACTTAGCACTTGACTTGCAAAACCGCAGGAATGAAAGGTCAGCGCAACTGAATGTTTGAACAAACGCATTAGTTCTTTAGAATATGTTAAAAATTTGTGCAGGTACGTTTTCACGGCAACATGAATGGGTCTTCGTTGGCCCATGCCATCCATGTGCCCATGGGCCCCCTGCTGTTGCAAACTGTACATTGACAATGAAAGGAAGGAGAAATAGTAGAGAGCAGCGCCCCTGGAAACGGGGTTTGACACACACACACACACTCACACTGGCTGCTGACTCCTCGGAATCTTTCGTTCTGGGCCTTTGAAGTTGAGTGGTGGGTGTTGGTGGTGGCGGTGGTGGTGACCAAATGTTCACGGTGCAATACTGGCCAAGCCTCAAAGATGATCTTGGAGAGTCGACTTTCGTGAATCGTAATGAGCTATCATTGGCCAGCAATTGCCTCGTCTTGTTTGAACCTCTCAACCTGTTTTGCTGAGATTGTGCATACGTCAAGTTGAGTTTGAATGCCATAGGCTTTTGCCCACCAGCTAACCTACGTCGCCTACCCTGTGAAGCCAAGGCAGTGCAGGTTGATGCGCGAAGAAATCAAAGATATCCAGAAGAAGACCAGACCAATGTTCACACACGTGCTACTTGGACATATGCATTTTTCTGAAGCAGGGACCTGTTTCTTGGCCCCGGAAGGGTATGTATGCTACTTGGACTGTGTCCTTCGATGAACAGCTACAGAATGCTTTACGCATCCATGCATCCAGCAATTCATTCATATCAACTGCGAGGGATCCACGATTCTCTGTGTGATCCGACGACCCCAAGGTACAAATTTCGGATGGAGCGGTTGAAGGCGTGAGCACTGAGGGCTGTTGGATCAGTACTGGCAGAGTAACTGGGAGCAGCCGATGGACATGTCCAAGTATTATTTGCTTTGGTTCGGCATAGCTTCCCTCAGCCCGGCGGATGTAAAACCAACTGGTGCACGTGCGATGTGTCGATATGTGTCGAGCAGGTGTTACAGCATTGAGTTTATCGGCGTGAGTAAGGTTGTTAGGTGATGTTTTCACGAAAGCTAGCCTTAGCTAGCTGGAGTTGCTCTTGCTTTAGCAAGTTAAGTGACGGGGTGGACGCACCTCAGAAACCTCAAATAATTGATTAAATCAATCTTCCCCCCCCCCCCCCCC